CGCGCTCCTTCCCCCTGCGTGCCCCCACCTGGCCCCTCCATGCCCCCACCCCGCCCCCACCCTGCCCCCTCCCTGCCCCCGCCAGGTACTTCCCCACCATCCTCATCGTGCTGCTGGCTGTGTTCAACGACGGCGCGATGATTGCGCTTTCCAAGGACACAGTCACCCCCTCCCGCCTGCCCAACCGCTGGAACCTCAACTCCATCTTCCTGTCGGGTGGGTCACTGGTGGGGGAGCTGCGAGGGGGCTGTGTGTGGTGTGGGGGTGCTATGCGGGGGCTGTGTGTTGGGAGGCTGGCGGGGGGCTGGGGACCGTGTCTGCATCTGGGACACTTCTGTCGGGCCGACGGGGCTGTGTGTGTGTGGCAGCGGGCTGGCTGGCTGCAGGGGGCGGGGCGCTGCGGGGTAGGGGGCACGCCGCGCCTGGGTGCACGACGTCCTCCTGTCCTCCCCTGGCTCGGGAGAGGCGTTGCTCGTGGTGCCAGTCACAGGACCGCCCCGCGGCCCCGGCCCGCAGGCATCGGCTACGGCCTCTACCTCACCCTCTCCTCCTGGGCCCTTTATTACGTGGCCACCCACACCGACTTCTTCGACGGCGACATCGGCATGTTCAGCCTGCAGGAGACGCAGGTGTGGGGCGGGCCGGGGTGTGGGGGTGGCGTTGGCGTGGGGTGGACCCTCCTGCGATGAAGGGCGGAGAGGGGAGGCATGCATGCGCCTGCAGGAGACGCAGGCGTTGGCGCGGGCCGGGCCGGGTGTGGCGTTGGCGTGGGCGTGGGCTCTCATGGGGGAGGGAGAGGGCCGGCATGCGTGCGCCTGCAGGGGGCACGGGTGGGGGTCTGGAAGGTGTGTGTGTCTTGTCCCTGGTGGCTGTGCCCCTGCCCCCGTGCACCACCCCCCGGGCCCACACCCCCTGCTCCCCCTTTCCTCCCTGCCCCGCCCCGCAGGACGTGCTGGATGCCTGGTGTACCGACTTTGTGCCCACCCAGGGATACTCCCTGGATACCCCCGCCTGCCAGATCTACCCAGACGAAATCACCGACTGCTCCATCACCGCCCTGGAGCAGTGCACGGCGGAGCAGAAGTATGTGCGGGGCGCCATGACCCGCGCCCTGCTCTACCTCCAGGTGAGATTCGGCGCCGGTGGTGGCGGGTAGGCTGGTGGTGGGCGGTGACAGCCGGCTGGCATTCCAGCGGGGCGGCTGGCTTGAGGAGAGCAGCGCACGGGCGCCCCGGCCGGCTCCTGCACCCAGCCGGCGGGCCTCCTGCGCTCGGCCGCACGCCGGGCCTGCGACCGGCTCTCGCGCGCCAGATCCTCACCGAGGAGCCCCGCCCTAACGCATCCTTCCTTTCTTCTGTCCTACCTTTTCCCCCTTCCTTCTTGTTCCTCCCCCGCAGGTCTCCATCTCCGGCCAGGCCGTGGTGTTTGTGGTGCGCACCATTTCCCACTCCTTCCTCTCCAGGGCCGGCACCCTCACCTACGTCGCCTTTGTGGTGGCCCAGGTGCGGCGGGGGCCTAGTGTGGGTGGTGTGGGGGCAGCGGCCATGCATGTGCATAATTTAGCTTCATGTATGTAGCTCTAGAGAGGGAGAGGGAGAGAGAGGTGTCTGCGGTATCGCGATGTGTAGGCAGCGGAGCGCCTGTGCGGGGGCAGCGGTGGTGGTGGGTGCCTGTGCTGTGCTGTGTGTGCGCTGCTGGCTGCATGGCTGCACGGCTGCAAGCAGCACCAGCCCACCGTGCTGTCCCCTCGTGCCCCTGCCCCTGCCTCCCCGCAGACCGCCTCCACCCTGATTGCCATCTTCGGCTTCAACGGCTACGAGGAGCCTCGCGACGGCGTGGAGGACTGCAAGGTATGTGTAGGGTGGTGGTGGTGGGGTGTGTGGTGGGGGGGAAGGGGC